CCTGAGATCTGGATAACCCACGCAGGACTTTTTTCCAGGGGGATCTGATGGCACTAAGTATGAAGTTGGATATCTATGTGATCAACTAAGACAGCATCCTTTGTTATAAATAAAATGGCTAACAAATTACTTAATTCCTCCAGGGAAGAGCTGCCTTCTGCGTAGGCTTGGCAGCTGAATGCTGCACTCACCTCAACAAAGATGAAGCAGGGGATGATGGAATAACTTCTCTGGGTATTGTTTCCTAAAGCCATTTCTCATCACACTTGTTGGGGAGGCGCTGTTCAAAACTTTATATCCTGAAAAAGAAAAGACAGAGGTATTTCAGTATATTTCACATTATTACAAACCCCAAAATGAAGTTCATAACATAGAGCACTGACTTAACAAACCAAGGATACAGACTACAATGAACATCAAGGTCTAACTGTGTACAAAATATCCTGAAAAAGCTCCCCCTTTGCAACACAAAAGAAGAGACAGACATAGGTTACAAGATACATTATATACAGATTGAAGGGTGATAAGCAATACAACAGTTGTCCTTAAATACAAATACACTCCCAAGCAAGATTCTTCCTCAGAACTGTAAAATCACATTTTCAGCTCACTGAACTGCCCACTGTGTGTTTTAAACCAGGAGATTTTTGTAATTGACTTGTAAACTTGCAATTTAGTAAGAGACATGCTTACATACACTGACTGTACACATACACGATCATAATGTTTATCTGTATAAATCTGCTCAAGATGACATGTGCTTTGCACAAAACCTCACAGCCTGTAACAAGCAAATGCAACAAAAATGCAATGAAGACCTGGGCCCTTTCTGCAGAGCCTTTCTGTCCTGATAAAATTTCATACATTAACACACCAAACTCCACCCAGTTAGCATTACTTTGGGCTACTGGCTATTCTAATTAACATAACCTTATAACACTGTCCTAAGACACTCTTTTTGCACGAAAAGTAGAAAAAGCAGAGGAAAGAAGAACTAATACAATGAAATTTTACTGACAGTGTGTGTCTTTTTCTGCATGCATGAGGCAACACATCAAGAAGCTAAGTCTGGTTTAAATGCCTCTACAGGGAGATACAGAGCAGGAGGGAAGGTGGAGCTGGAAAAGCAGTGTGTAGCCCAGAGTACCAGATGCAGGATTGCACAAAGCATGAGACAAAGGAGAGAATCAAAATCCTCTGCTATCAATTTTAACCTGAGCACATCAAGCAAGAGCACAGGTTTAGGTGGGTCCAGCCCCAGTTCCAGCACTCACAAAGAAACTCTGCCCTGATGACAAGCACCTCCACGTGTCATGGCCAGGGAGGAGGAAGCTATTTTGCAGAGGATGCTTTGCACAGCATCTTCTCATGACTCTTTGACCTCACTGGCATCTGGGTGGCAATTCAGGCCTTGGCATATGGAGCCTGTGAGATTCACAAAGGAGTCACTGCTTTCTCACCAGCTCTCAGCTGGGAGAAATACCATGATCAGCACAAGTGAGTTCATCTGAGGTTAGGATGGAGGAGCTGGATCAGCTGCCAGTGCTTGCCACCTGCACCATGATGTAGGCTCTTGTCTCACCACCTATGAACTACTTAATGTATTCCTTAGCTCTTCACAGTTTGACCCAGAGTTGTAAAATACACTATGTATATGATGGATTTAGGCAGAGCAGACCTACCGTGACTCCAGTGAGGTCACATTCTGTGTCAAGAACAGCTTCTGAATTGCTAACCGTTGAGAAATACAGTTTCAGGACAAACCAAATAGTCAGGAACGTCACCTGTGATGTGCTTCAGACACTCACATCTTACACTGTGGCCCATTCTAAAGTACAAATATTCTCAAAACACCTCATTTTCCAAACAGACTTCACTATACTTACTGGGTAAAATGGGGTTTATCTCAGAGGTTAGTGTCATTGCCTAAAAAAAGACAAGGTAATCCAACCTCATTTGGACTATGGAAAAAGATTCAGAAATTCATTTTTAACACCACTTTTAATACCTCCATCTCTTGTGCCACGTGGCTTTGTAACTTGGCAAAGAAACTAGCAATTTAACTGAAGGTTAAATTGCTTGATTTAACATTAGGGGACCCCTGATGTTACAGATGTTTATCATCATGCCTGTTCCTTTAAGTGTATTGTGCACTCCTGGTTTAAAAAGCTGCACTGCCTATGGGAAAGCTTTTACATGCCAACTTCTCTCCTATGTGATCACACATTTGTGTCAGGCTTAAGTAGCAAGAGGCCAAATGGTTCTGTGATCCCCTAATTCCCAGATTGTGGGAAAACTCTCAGCTAGCCAGTGCTTGTCATAGCTGGTCTTTTCATCAGGTTACTCAACAAAAGAGTAGAGGGAAGCAAAGATGTAGTCTTGGAGGGAGCACCATCTTTGGTCTCTCTTCAGCTGGAAATGAATCCTCTAGGGATACTGACAGCAAAACACGGATTACAGCAAACCCCAGATGCTTCAGCCTGCACAGCGGTCAGAAATAACCTAGTTTTGCTCAAAGAATCATAGTAAGATGTAAAACAAGTTTTAGTAAAAGTCCTGTTCTCTAATCCATGAAGATCTTGTCACATTGAAGAAATTTTTGGCGTGCAAGGCCTCTGACTAAAGCAGTGGCAAATAAAAGCTAAAATATCAGCAACAGCCTTGTCCATTTATTATTTCTACCAACTTGACTGAATTACTAAGGAACTCATGTGAGCAAACCTGTAACAGTCTTTTTAGATCCCAGTAGCTGTGACCTTTTCAGGCCTGGTATGTTATCACAGCACCAGAGTAGAACTGGTCAAACCTATCCTAACTAATTAGGAAACACTGTAGAGGGAATATTAATGATCTGAGGCTTTGGTATTATGAGGTGCTTCCACTCTTAAAACAAATATATATAATTGTATAATGCAACATTTGTGAGTTAATTAAAATTAGTTCTCATCTTGCTCAATCTACCTCACCTGTGCATTTTCAGAAAGCCTCATATCTACAGCATAGGAGGTTATTGTCTGGCATCTCCTGGGAGAACAAATGGGGACAGAGAATATAAATAAGTGAACTGAAAACTGAAAGAAAAGGACAGCAAAGAAAAAGACAATTCAAGCTGAAGAGATTTTCTTGCTGCAGGGATCCATCCAGGAGAATTGCTTTTAGAATGCCCCATTCAGGTATGTTCTAAAGCCTTTCATGTGAGCATGTTGCAGACAGCAAGAAGGACATATCTAGGACAAACTAGCATTCACTGAGCCTTTATGGTGTTAAGTTATTGCAGCAGACACAGTACATTTGACTGTTTTCTGTGTGATCAGTCATCCAACCAGTTAATTTGGGGTCTATTCCTCTGGAGACAAACCTCCGTTTGTCTGTGGTCAAACCTCCGTTTTTGAAGCCATGTTCGGCACAGGTAGGAAGAGAAGATAAACAATGTATTTCACATATGGCCATACCAAAGTGTGTGGCACCTGGTCATCTGTGGGAAATACTCAAATCAACAATCCAGCCAAGCTAACAGGCCCTGTTCATCATAATTTTCAGCTATGTTTCAGTTAATCAGAATCAATGCATATTTCTTTTTCAGCAGCTCAGAAACCACCAGCCTGAAATCCAGGAGCTACTGCACAAACCACAGCAGCAGAGACACCACTGGCACCTGTGGGACACCACCCCACAGCAGAATCCCAAATTTTCTCTGACCAGAGGTGAGGAGGGTAACCACTGGCCATTTGGTACCAGGATGTGATGCAAACACACACAAAAAAAGGATTTCTGTCTCTTAGTTTCATGATCGTTTCAGCAGCACTGTTCCAAAACAAGGTGTAAATATTACATTAGCAGGAACACCAACTGTAACTGTAACAATCTAAAAGATACTTGAAACATCATTATTTCCTTATGTAAATTACTTAAACCTTCTGTTAGCAATTTGCAAACCTCTGTTGGCAATTGGCTTCAAATTATAAAGATCTTTACTCTCATTAAAATATGAATTCTGTTTACAAATAAAAAAGTACCACCAGAACCTCTGCACCATAACTATTCGTTTGCCCAACTGAAACACACATTGCATATTTCAAACCCCCATTCAATTAAGGAAACAAATTAAAATTAATGCCGCTGCTAACAGTGATTATCCAAGCTTTGGCAAAGAACTGTATAATCACAATATATTATACTATCTCTTAGAGATCTCACTGTAAAGCAGGGTCCTCTATTTCCTGTGGGAGGAAACAGTGGAAGCAATTTGCCAAACATCACACAATGACTCAATGTATAGGCTGAAGAAAGACACATCATTCTGAGACTCCTGTCAACTGCTCTGTCCACTTGACAACACAGTCTCTGCACTTCAAATGTGCTTGCTAATTCCTACACAAGTCCTCACCATACATTTTAGGAATACAGGTTTCCTGACTGCTTGCTGCTGGAACCAGCAGAACACACACTGCAACCTTAAAGAAGAAGGGCTGATCAAGCATGCCCCAAGATGTGACAACCTCACATTCTCTCTTTGTGACTTCACCTGGCATGTCCAAAGGCACCACATTATCCCAGTGCAACCTCTGCATCAGCATGCCTGTAATCCTGAACAGGCTGCAACAGGACAAGAGAGGCTTAAAATGTCTTCCCCAGAGGTCTCTTCCAAACTGATGCACAATAAAGGGCTAAAGGAATAAAAAGTACTGCAAAAGACAGTCAGTGTATTCCAAGTACAGATTTCTTTACTGTTTTTGAAGTAATTGAAACCTCAGTGGTGGCATGAATCACTCCAAAAGCCAAACCGTGTGACAAAAGGCACAAATGGCTTTGTGGCATCAGAGCTGCTCGTCTGCCTTGCACCCAAACACAATGCAGACCGCTGGCCTGAAAACAGTAAAACTAAGAAAATAACATCACGGCTGCAACAATTGGAAGGTACCAGACAACTGGCACTCAGTTCGCTATCTCAGCGGCCCACAACACACTAATTTTTACCTACAAATGAGAAAGTTATCCTTTGGATCATGGTGTCCTTCAGGAGGTGTGTTCTACACACAGTGGGGTCTGGGAAAGAGGGAAGACACTTGGTTATATCATCAAAGAACCCTTCACCCACTGACTGTGAACTGAGAGGCAGAGAGCCACCAACATGATGGCCACTGGATCAATAACATGGTGTCAGACTGGAGAAAATGTTTGTCCAAACCTCATCTTCAGCTGTTAACTGGGAAATTGTCTGGTGGCTGATCACAAACAAATGATCACAAACAAATGTGGTGTGCTAAGTTTTGGGCCTTGGCTGGTGGCTGTCTCCTGTGTAAGCAGCCCAATGACCCACTTGGCCAGAACATTTATAAGAGCTGAACTGGTAAAGCAGAAGCTCAAGTTTACTTAATCCAGATCTCACCCCAGAATACAGTTTATTAGAACTTCTCCTGGTTTGTGCTGGGACAATTATAGCATTCAATAGCTACACCATTCAAATAAATTGCCCTGTCAGAGAAAGTGCTTCTCACAGGTGTCTCCACAGACTCCTGAAACAAGAAACTAATTACGTATCACTAATGGCAGCAAAGAAATAAATAAAAACAATACGGAAAATAAACCCAAACATGTTCACCATTACAGAAAAACAATTTTGCAGCATTTTCTCTGATGAGAATTCTGACCTTTTTCTCCTAGCAGAAGTCACATCTTCATATTCAGCATTCGACACAGAAAACCATTCCATGGCAAACAGTGATACTGAAGTAATATAGTCCAGCATATCTGAATATAACTAATATATACAGCATATCTGAAATGATAACTCTTAGTACGAAACCCACTTTATGGTTGTGAAGAAAGATACATTAATAACTACCATGATTCCTAAATTCATTCTCTTAAAAATGTGTTGCTGAATCCCTGGTGTCAAAGCAGATACCTAGAAGAAAGTGATGCCTTAGATTTCAAGAATCCTGTTAGTGTTGTTTTCCCTTGCTACCAGCTTCGAGTAGAAAATATCCCATGATTGAGTGATAAGCATCAGTACAAAGTTTATGGACAGGCAGATTGATAAGGGCTCTGCACCATTTACATCTTCAAGAGAGTTCAAGTGTTATGTCAGCACAGCAGAGGCCTTGTAACAACTTCTCACTGTGGGGAGGAAAGTGAAATCTCAACGCCACAGCTTCCATCAACAGAATTTTCATTTACACCACTTGGCCAGAATTCCATAGATTTCAAACAGAACCCAAACATGTCTGTGTGAATAGCAGGTAAATGCATGCAAATATCCAGAAAGCCAAACAAAATGGCCACAAGACCTATTTTGTACTCTCTCAAACTCCTGAATCTCTCCTTGTTCAGCAAGTCTGAAAGTGTCATTGTGGTTGGTCTACTCCATTTGGTGAGCCACTGAATTCCTTCTGAAAAGTTTCACTGTATCACTTACTTTGTGTTGGTTTGAATGCAATACACCTATATGTGGTATCACATCAGCAAAACCATATGAATAAAAGTTTTTACCTGCTGTGGTGGTGTGCTGTAGCTGATAATGCTTCTCTCTTGCAAAAGGATTAGTGGTACATGATAAATGAAGAAGGAATCTGACTATGAGATTCATTAGGGAATTCTTTAAAAAAAATAACAAGCATAACAAGCAGTCTCTGGAAAAAAACCCAAAACCCATTAAATTTATCCAAGCCATTACAAGACAGTCCTGCTATCTCTCCTTTAAGTAAAAAAAGCTAACTGTTCTAGCTCTCATTTTAGCCTGTCAAACTTTAAAGTGAATCTAAATAAAATACCTGTGGGAAAAATAAAGGCTATTTCTTGGCCTCCACCCACCCTACCTGAAGGCACGTCATCTTGATTTAGACTAATTAAACTAATTAATTTGCCTTGTGATCTTTTCTGAACAAATACAAAAGGCATTAGTTGTTTCTTTTACTTCTGATTGGTTCTATCTATCTTCAAGGGTATTTATAGCAATAAAATGGCAGGTGTGGTTGCATTAAAGTAACCTTTCCTATACATAAAGGATTCTGAATTACAGAGATTAATTACATGATTAGTCTAATGAAAACCTAGCAGGCTATTGTTCCAAAAGTAACATAGTTGAGATCCAGAACTGCAGCTGATTGACTCAGTTAATCATGGGCTTGAGACACAGATACCCTGTTTATGCTAAATCCCCATCTGTAAACTGCTGCACAAGAGTTCTATGTTCAATGTCCATTTGCATGCCTCACAAAAAAATAACACCATTCCTGATTTACACCTGACAGTCTTCTAAGACTCTGGCTGGAAGCCAGTGATCTCCCTGGTATTTGGGATACTATCATGAAGGGCTTGTGACCCAATTTCACTCTCTGAAACCAATTCCATTCCACATGGCTTTCCTCATGCAAAGCACCAGCAGGCATTGAGGAAACTGGGTAATTTCAGCAGGAAAAACCTACAGCAGCCTACACCTCAGGCTCTTAACTAGTTAAAAAAAGGAGGGAGACATTGACGGGAAAGAAGAAAGCATACAGATAATAACAATGTCATGGTGCAGATGAGAGGAAAATTGGATAAGCTACAGAAAAGCTTCTATGGGATGGAGGGTAGGACAGGAAAACAGACCACAGCTTTTCCCTGTGATGCAAAACCACAATACTGAAAATTTCATCTATCAATACAACAGACCCTGGAAAACACTCCACCCTTACCCTCCCAAAAATATCAGGGTTTTGCAGAAGATATTTTAATATTATTTAAAAATTATTAAAATATTGTATTATAAGAAAAAGTTATTCAAAGACATTTTCCTCATTCAGAAAATTTGTACTTAAGAAAACTCGCTTTGTTTTCTTCTTTACAAAACCTCCCTAGCCAACTGTCCTACTGAAACTTATTGAGCTATTAAAAAAAACAATTGGCTGCTTATGTCTTAGCAAGAATGAGAAATATTTTTATTTGTAATGGAGCTTCACAGCTCTGCATAGAACTAATTTTGGGAATCCCAATATTAAAAACATATTTCAAAAATATATGCTGCACGGTGCTCTTACGTGCCATATCTGCTGAGTATTAAGTCCAAACAAGCTGCTGATCAACACATTTAAGTGCAAGGATGAATCTTGTGCAAAGTGCCAGCTACTCTCAGGCCTCAGATGGATATCTTTGAGTAAATTTCCAAAGCCCTCTCCTCCCACTACCCTTCTGTGACAACTTAGGAAGCCAACACTTTTGGAGGGTCCTCACACAGGTCATAATATAAAGATCAACAGGCAGAAATACTGAGATGAGCACAGGAGGGAACAGAGCTCAGCAATGCTTGACAGAGTAAGGGGATGAAAATCAGGTGATCAGCATGCTTCTATTTATTTCTGATGTTTCTTATTTCCAGGGGATGAATTCTGCACTGGAAATTTCCTCTCAAAATCATGGTAAGCTGTTTCAAAAACTAGTCATGTAATAGGCACAAGCCAGTGGACTCCAGATAGAAAGAAAAAACCCATTCATTTTTGTCCCCTCAGGGCTCAGCAAACTGTGTGAGTATTGATTGCAAGCTGTAATATTATGAAAGTAAACAAACAACTGCCTCACCACAGTGTAGCCTTTGGCAACGAGGTCCAGGGGCAGGGCCCCTTGCTCCTGTTATATTCTGGTGTTCATGTTGGCATGGAGCTGTCAGGGATACACAAGGAAGGCATAGACTCATGCTCCTGCAAACCTGGCTCAGTCTTAGGTGGATCTTTTGTCAGTTCACTTGGTTTATAAATCTCCACCTTCATCCCTTGCCAAGACAAAGGATTTCCAGCATACCTGATCTTTTCCCTCATACAAAACACCTTGGCAGAAGCTCTCTTTAATAGCAGTGAAAAAAAAATTTTTTTTGCTTTCCTCTTTCTTTTTTTTAATCTCTGTGTCTATTATGCAGCCAAGGGAAGGCAAGTATAAACCCCACTGCCCCAGTTTGCCCACTTTTAAGGACAGTACTGTAGTACAGCTCATGCAGTTTATGTGGGCCTCACAAACACTACCTGGATGGACAGTCAAGAATTTAAGAATGTATTGTTAAACTACAAGAGTCTAAAAAAAGAACTTATTAGTCCATATCTATTTATTACTATTACAAAATACTGCCGACTGGAACAAAAACATTTCTGAATTTACAGACCTGTAATACCTCTCCCTTCTCTGTACTGTTATGCTATCCACTGACTCCTGCATGAATCCTGCTTAGCCTGGAATAGGAGAGAGGCTTATGGCAAACTGTCCCTGGCCACAGCTTGTCTCCAAGAGAAAGGCTCCAGAGCTGATGGGGAGAGCTTATTCCTCTTTACTCTACTCAGCATCCCCTGGGGGTGAGGTGCTGGTTGTAGCTTGATTGGCTCTGGTACCATCTTGTGTTCACAGTTTCCAAGCCTCTGCTATTATCCCATGTCTGTTCTTCTCCATGCTGCCATTCAGACAGTTTATTTTTAAAAGAATAGAGACTTGTTAGTTCTACCCATTAGGCAGAGAAACTGATGAAGATTACTATAAAAAGAGGCACTAAATTATACAACCATATAAAAGCAAGCTAAAGCTAAAACTGATTAGGTAACATCTATCACTCTTTCAGACAACTGCTGTAAGAGTTAAAAGAGCAGAACAAAGCTTCAGGCAAGCCCTGACAACTGAGATCTGACAAGCCCTTGTCCTCACAGAATTACTTCAGAATCTGTGTTGCTACTAGAAAAGGCAATAGAATTTGTCCGGCTACAAGGCCACAATGCAGATTTCGATAGACAAGAATGCCCTAGATTTTCACAGACTGAAAAACAAGGTTTTTCACCTATGAATCCAGAAAGGCTGCTGCAAACACTTCTGTGGATTTAAGCTCCTGATTAGCTCTTGGTCTTCTTGGAGGTCTGTGCTCTTCCCTGTGTAATTTTGTCTTGTGACACCTATAGAGGCCTCAGAGAAGCTCACACAGACATTGTTTGAGCAATAAGGTATTTGATTTTTAAAGCCAATACAGTCTACACAAACAGCTGAACTGTTACAATTAAA